ATTGTTCCCACTGATCAAAGCTTCCTATCTCTAGTTCCTGTTCTCACTTAACTTTATGTTGAGATGGACTAGCTGGTTCTGCTAATCTGGCCATAAAGTCTGCCTGCTGTTTTCAGCAGATACTGGTTCCTCAATATCAAGACTTTTGCCCTGGTGAGAGGTCCCCTGCCTGACTCTACATTTTAGCTTGACCAGCAGGAACCCTGGGTGCCTAGACAATATCCTAAGAACAAGGCAGACTGGGGAATCCACAGCATCCCTAATAGTATTATGCCTAGAGTAGTATTCTACTCTAGGCTGTTTTTAAGCTCTAGATGCAGCATTGGCACTGGCACAAATTCTAATTTATATAGAATCATGGACTTGGAGTTATTTACTTTTCTAGTTCAGATCCTTATTCTGAAGCATTTGCTCCTATATTAACAGGTACTTCAACTGTTCTTTGTTCGAGCGTTCCTTTTTTTTTTTTTTTTTTTTGCTTTAACCTTGGGGTGGGGGTGGTCGGTGTTTTGAATTTCTCAGAATGGGCTTCGAATAGTAACCTCTTCTATGAGGAGACCCAGGTGTTCTGACTTGTTCTCCCGCAAATTCATGCTCAGTCTGTTCTACATTGAAAACCACAGAGCTCAGTCCCTTCTCAGTACTCCCACCCCACCAGCGCAGTCACTGACTTGGGTGTCACACACCCCCTTTCTCCAGTGTACTCCTGAGTCTCAGGAGTCCCCAATAGTGGCATATGCCTGAGTCAACAGCTGTAGGTAGCTCTGCTGCTTAGCAGTCGCCCTGCCCTCTTGTGGCTTGTGCTTTCCCAGTATCATTACAGACAAAGTTCACTTGAAGTTTTTCCTACCCATTCCACTGGATCATTCCTCTTTCCTGTGTTCTGTGGACATCCATTTCTCCCTCAGGTGTGTTGTGGCTTTGTTTTATTGTAGTTTAATTTTGAGTTTCTTGTGCAGGCAGGTCTGGTGTCTTTACTCTGCCATATTTTGCTGGACTTCCTGTATTGCATTGTGAAATGATAAACATTAGCTTAGAGAAATATAAATATATATATAATACATATGTGTATGTTATGCATATATATATATGATCACTTTAGTAATAAGCCCCAAATGTTGTGAGAATGACATGTTAGCAGAGAATCCTCCTGTTCCAATATAGTTTTGCATCTTTAAAGAAACGTATCATTTATTTGTATTTGAAGGAACTATTGATAGCTCTATATAAGACAAAATTAATGTAATTAATTAAAATAATCCCATAAGTGTATATATATATACATGTACATACTTGCATACAAGTATTTGAATATAAATAAAACCATAGATAATGAATATTTTGTTTTGTATGCAGATCTCAAATCTGTAAAGAATGCATTCTTAATCTCCTCTATTCATAGACTACTAAGGTAGATTATTCTTACTTAAAATGTTTCTTAAATTATATTGTCTAATTTCCATTAAAACCAAAATAGAAATTCCTTTTGCTATATGGCAGTGTTATCACACCAGCCTGAAGTACAGTTTTCAGAGATTGTATTCAATAAATAACTTCAGAAAGAAGTGGCAATACATGAGAAAAATAGAACAACTCCTTTAAGTATAATTCCTGGGAAAATTTCATTACATAGTTTATATTGAGGTTAAAAATGTTGTTAGTTATGTTCAAATAAACATTGAATTTAATTTGAAATATAATTATATTTTGGGAGTACAGTGATTGCAGGAGCTGATGATCCTCTCTCTCTTGTTTTTAAATTGAGCTAACTTGGTTATAAGATAACATTGCACAAATGTCAGGTATGAAACACTACAGCTCCATATATATATATATATATATATATATATATATATATATATATGCTACACCACAGCCACCACCACTACTTTCCATCCACTACCAGCTAACTGACTCCCTTTACCCATTCCTCCCACCCTTCTGCCCCTTCCCCTCTAGTAACTACCATTCTGTTGACAGAATAAGGGTTTATTTTCATTTCATTTTGTTGTTTGTTTTGTTTCTTTATATTCCACATGAGTAATATTTCCCTTTCTGACTTATTTCGCTTAGCATAATACTCTCTAGCTCCATCCATATTGTCACAAATAGCAAGATTTCATTATTTTATAGCTTAGTGGTATTCCATTTATATATGGAATTTATCATATATTTATATATATTTTATATATATATATATATATACACACACACATACATATCTATATACACATATAGACACACACACACCACATCCCTTTAGGTATCATCCATTAATGGACACTGACGTTGATTTAGTATCTTGTTTTTTATGAATAATCTGCCATAAACAAAGGAGTGCACATGTCTTTTCAAATTAGTGCTTTCATATTCTTCAGATAGATATATAGAAGTAGAATTGCCAGGCCATATGGTAGTTCTGTTGTTAATTTTTTGAGGAAAATGGTGTTACCCTCTTCCCTTCTTGCCCTTTAGATGTCTTGGACATTGAACCTCAGGTAGAATGTAACAAACGGGATGAAGTCTGATGGATGAGTCAGTTCAAACAAATGCACTAACAAAAACCAAAATATCACCTTGGCCAACCATCACTGGTATTGGAATAACAATTGATACTCGATGTAGATCAAATGCTACACTTTCATTAAATATGAGATATGATTGAGTGCCTACAAATTGGTGTTTAATTCACTAGCTAAATAGAGTTGACACTTGAAAACTCAGAGTTGACACTTGAAAACACTAGCTACTGATTCAGTGGAAAATCTTAGTATAACTTAGAGTCAGCTTCTGTATATGTGAGTCCACATTTGAGGATTCAACCAACCAACATCCAGGGTTGGTAAATTCTTGAGTGTGTTACCCACAGATGGAAAAACAAATATGCACATAAGTGGACCTGTACAATTCAAATCCATGTTGTGCCAAGGGTCCAAGATATTACAAAGTCTAATACTCAAATCTTATAAAATTTGAGTTTTCTATATTCTTAGTTCCATCTATCTATAAGAAATAAGATTCCCTGGTGGTCATGTTTTACAAACCTGATTACTAATTTGGTTTGACTTGGTTGTTAAGCCAAGCCCATGTTTCAAAAAGCTAAATAACTAGGCAGTTACAATTCTAGATTGAACTAAATGGAGCTTTGGTCCTGTGTTGTGTAATTATACTTAAGCATTTATAATAACTGCATGGCACATAGGTGAGTTTCTTGCACTTTCTAGTGCAAGTTAGCATAAGAAAGCATTCACTCACTCCTTATTTCCTCAATTTATTACTAGTAAATGAAATACTATTATGCAAATATCTTCAACTTCCTGGATAATGAAACTGTGCAATTAAAGATGGTAGAATTGAAGGTGAAGCACCCCAAAACATTGTTTGCTTTGACTGTGGGATCCAAAAATTGACAGAATGTAGATAGTTCTATCACATTAGATTCCACAAGGACTTGCCAGAGCTGATGACCCTTATGCTAATTTTCATAGCATAAACATAAGGTCATTGGTTAGGGCATTTGCTAGCATGCTGTGTTTGGTTAGGAACACTTTAAGTTCTTACAGCTGTGCTATAGCCTTGGCCAGTAGGGAAAATTGGTTACAAATCTGATGAAGAATTGATACTGTCCATTTTTAAGAGGGATATAAAGTTTCAAGGGCAGAAGCTTGGCTTTGTGACTCTGAAGTTATGAGAACAGAGACCACTGGCTGAGGTTCTGGTTCATATAGGCAGGACTTTCTGTGGACTGTTACAGATTCTGGACTCAGGTGGAGGGAGAGAGGGTGGTCCTGGTATGGATGGACTTTGAAGGCAGAGACAACAGAACTTGTTTAAAGATGAGTTGTGAACTTCCAATCCATCCTAAAACTTCCTGCACAATGTGCTGGTGCTAAAGTTAACTGAGGTAGGCAAAACTGTAAGGGTGAGGAGGGAGTAGATTCACTGGTAAGGAGTAACCAAACTCACTTCACCTGAAACCCACCCCTCTTTTCTTCACATACAAGTACAGACAGGAGGCTGTACTGCAAACACTTTTAAAGAAAGGTATGCCAGAAGAGGTTACATACAGAACTCACCTCTTGTGTATTGGAACTTGGTGTGCTTTTGTGGTTTTTTTTTTTCACTTGTATGTTCATGAAAAATTTAAATTTTAATTGAAATTGTTCTTCACCAAATCATTATTAATGTGTTTATCTATAGTAAATGTTTATATACATCATCCTTTTTAATTTTCCCTACAAATTAATATTTACATTAAAAAGAACACTGTGTTTCTCATGGAGTCATGCCTTCCATATAACAGCTTGCCCTCTTGCTGTCCCCTCTTAGCATGAAGCCAGATGTGTGTGGCTATGAAATTAAACCTCTGTCTTATGACAGGTAGTGTCAGTGTGTTCTCCCATGTACCCCCCAAATACTTGTTATGTGAGAAAGCCTGACAATACACAGTGAACAATGGGATTGAAATTTAGATCGCTGTGGTCTAGTTCTGGCCATACTGGGGCATAGCTCTTCTACCTCTGCAGTCTTTTCACTTGCCTAGACTTTGGCTTTGCATTTATAAGTTTAGGGTTTTGAACCAGAACACTGTCTAGTTTCCTTCCAGCTCTCATGTTGGGTTTCTTATTAACAATCTGTGAGTTACCATTGTGCTTGGTGCCTGGGAAGGAGAGGTTCCATGTGTGTCTCAACAGCTTAGATATAATAGGGTTTAGAACATGAGCATTTTTTTTTTAAAAGAAAGACTTTGAGGTTAGCCTGTTTAATGGTGCTATTGAAATTTAAATGAACCTGCAAATAAGGAAAAATGTAGGCAATCATGACTAATCCAGGCACTAAAGAGAGATTGTCATATCCTTGTTTAAACATTAGCATGGTTTCTTTAAAGTAGTCAGCTTCTGCATATTAACAAAGTGGAACATCCATCATTCATTGGCATGAGGCAAAAATGTGAGGATGATATTCTGCACACATTGATCCTTTTCTCTGTTTTCTCCCAGGGTTTTCCAGGAAACACAAATGCAGACAGTGTGGTACACTACCGACTCCAGCCTCCTTTCGAAGCCAGGTTCCTGCGGTTCCTCCCCTTAGCCTGGAACCCTAAGGGCAGGATTGGCATGAGGATTGAAGTATATGGATGTGCCTATCGTGAGTGGTGCTTATTCCCAGACTGAAGTCAATATCATGGTGACATGTAGTAAAAACCAAATTAAAAACTGGACGAAGGTTTTAATCCTTTTAATGAACTGTGCTTGTAGAATTTTTTTTTTTTATGGAAAGACTTAATAATGCTGCTTTTTAGCTATTTTATACTTCTCTACAGAGGTGGATGTGAACTAAGACTTGGAATCTTAGATTCCCAGAATTTAGCAGAGTATATTTTTTTATGGTCGGCACATTAATAAAATTAATGAAAACTGAATCAACAATAATTTACTGTGACTGACGCTGCTATTTTCCAACACTGAGATTGTTGGATGGAAAAGATGTCTTGAACAAATTCCACAAATAGGTTTTATGGACCCCACCCCCATCCAGACCAAAGAGATCCAAGACACCAAGGACTATAAATCCCATTGTTTCATCACCATTGAAGGAAGGGTTGCTGGGAACTGAGGGTAGAGTTAAGTAGCCAGGCTTGGTACGTAACCAGATATGTCGGCCTTCAGGGGTCCTTGTGTTGTTTTTTTTTTTTTTTTTTTGCCAGCTTTCAGTGTGTTATTGGGGTTCCAGATCAGTATAACTGATAGGACACATTTACCAATTTATCTCTCTCTCTTTCTCCCTGCATTATTAATTTCTTATTTTCCCCTTTTTGCAAATAAACCCTTTATTATCCTTTTTGTGTATAACTGTGGTTGAGTCTCATTATAAGTCCTTTATAAGCATGTGATGAGGACTCACAATCAGGCAACCCATTTCACATTGGGGTTGCCCTGTAACGAGATGACCCTCATGAGGACATGGGTGACTCAAGTGCAAATGCCACCACATTCTTCACACCCTATGATGACTCCATTCTCCCTTTACTTCTCTGTATTTACATTCATGTTTGTATAGTGTGTTGTGACTTAATTTGCTCTGAACTTCGGAACATCATTTTGTAATATGTCTTCCCTCTTTACCCCACTGATGATAAAGTAGCAACACTTGCAGTCAACATGAGCAGTAACACAGATTAAGAACATTCAAAAAATATATGGGGGAATCAACTCAACAGTTGTCATTTTGAAGGTGTGGAAAATACTGATATTCCTTAACACAAAAAAAGAAAAGTTAATTTAAAACATAATCTAAAAAAGTGAAGAAAAACCCAGTGAGTAAGTTGGATGGGAATAGTCTGTGAAAATGGATTTTGCTCAGGTTGGCAAATGATGGGTGACTTCACCCCTCCATTTGCAGCTGATACAAGCATCAGATTTGTAGAAAAGTGCAATTATAAGATCTACCACATCTAGAATATCTAATGTGCCATAGCCTACATCCTACAAACATTTTCTCTTTCAACTTGCACACCAACCAAATGAATTGAGATAGTAATAATCCCACTGTTTTAGAAGAGGAAAAAACTGAACCTTAGAGAAATGAAAATATTCATGAGAACTATTACATATTGGTTCTAATATTTAAAAGCTATCTGTATTTTTTTCTAAATTTGGTTCTTATCACTACCATCCTAGTTAGGCATTAATTTCCTTATTCCCTTGCTTATATAAGAATTTATTGGACATTTGCTATTTGCAGATAACTATGTTAGGTATTAGGTATAGGGGAAGCATTCTAAAAGTGTACATTTTTTGGCAGGGGTGAAATATTTGATTTTAATTTCAACTCTTGAAATCTCAACAGTGTTTTTGCTACACTTACAGCCTTGCAAGCTAGCTATAAGATCCCCAAAAGTATTCATACTGTTAGGATTTTGTGAGAGGTCACATAATTGTAAAAAAAAAAAAACATGTAAGATATTATGACATGAAATGGGGCATGAGAAGTAGTGGTCAGTCATTTGGGCTGGAAAAGGAACCTTCTTTGTGGTTGTTAGCAAAGTGAGGGACTGAATTGTGAGACAGGATGTAGGGAGGGTGCTTATATGAGGAACCTAAGGCTTTGTTAGTGCAGGTATAGGTTTGGGCATTGTGGGGTGCAGTGGATTGTTGAGGAACAATAAATAATCCCCACTTTGGTAACCACAGAGAGAATTAGTGTTTTCTGAAGGTGAGGCTCACCGAAGTAATTCCATCCCAGATTCAAAGGTCCCAATCAGTATTAGCTTCATTTACCTTCCTAATTCCACTAATTGCTCGGTTTCCTGACCCTCCTAGTTTATTTCCATGGAATATTTAGCAGAGATGGTGTTGCATTGCCTTCAAACTTTTGTTCCTCTTTCCATTAGTCATTTCCTTCCTTTCTTTTGTTTCTTGGATTTCTGAATGTGTTCATGGATGCCAAGCCAGGATGCCTGATATTTAGAGTTTCTCTTTGATCCCATGAAATTAGCATCTCCTTCTCCCATTATTCTGGAAACAACTTCAGGTATACTTACTTCAAAGCTCAACAAGCTCTTTGATGGGGATTTGCCATTAGCTTGATGTTCTTTGTGAGAACATATTACTTCAGTTCCTTGGGTAAGAGATTAATACAAGGAAGATTAAAGCTTGTGTGTCTGATTCCCAAAAAAGATAGTTGGGTGTGAAACTGTCATGAGATCCTAAATTCAGGAAATGGAGCTATTGGACATAAGAGACTCCTAGGTTAAAACACATACAGACAAGAAACAATCACCACCATTTGTAAATCAACACAAAATCCACCCCTTAGTAATAGAGGCACTAATTGTCTTCATTTTTATTATGAATCATTAACTGTTCAAGTATAACTTTGATATTTAGTTTTGACAGTGTGTATGGTTTTAGCCAAAAGGTGATACCGGAATTGTCAGGCCTAGTCTCCCAGCCAGGAACGGATTCCAGGCTGCAGGGCAGCGCTGAGCCCCAGCCGCTAGGCCCCCCACGGGTTGGTGTCTCACGAAGCCGCAGCAGGAACTTCGCAGACGCTCAGGCAAGCAAGCGAGAAGAGGCAGTTTGTTTAGAAAAAGAAAAAGTTTATTGAGGAGAAAAAGAACAGAAATAAAGTGGGACTCCCAGGCCAGGGAACCAGGCCTGGGAGGGGCAAGGAAGCCAAAGTGGAATTGTGTTTCAGGGAATATATACCTTTTTCCCTCATTATTCTAAAACTTCACCAGTCTCTCTGTGATTGGTTAGTTCTCGGCTGTCTCACTTAATTTGCTACTGAGTGGGGATCTTCACATTCCTTATCTAACAGCTTTCTCTTTCCCCATTTGTTGCATCTTTAAATTTATGGCCCAGTCTTCTGGATGGGCATCCCTGCATTGAAGTTAAACAGCTGCCCTTCTAATGTGACCATAAATTAAACCACTCTCCATTTCTCCAATCTCCGCCTCCCTTTACCACCTGAAGGAAACCAGGACCAGCATTAACAATGTTGTCCTTGGTCCTGGCATGTTTGTTTTTCCTAATGGAATTGGTTATATTTCTTTGGTTGTCCTTATCTCTGAAGCCTCCCTAAATTCTTCAGAGGTACCCTCCTGCACTGTCCCTAAAACTGCCTAATAACCCTAGCTTGCCCTGTCTCAAAGGGATCATTGTTATCTTTTCATTTGTATTTCCACTGCTGTGTTTTTATTGAAAAATGTCTAAATAGCTTATCTTGGCATATAATGTCTACTAGATGAAACTTCTCTTTTCAGTTTATTTTTCTTACGCTCTATTTGCAAAATTTATTATCCCCATCAACACTCTGCATTTTTATGACTTGATATACACATTTTCTCTACCTGAAAGGACCTTCTCCCATTTCTAGGGTAGGGATGAATCATACAAGTGTTCTTCTTAGAAGAAGAAGGTCCCTGCTGACCTGCACACAAAGGTCCAGGGTTTGTCATAGGTGGTCTTAGCCCTACCTCATTCTCGACTTACTCTACCCCCTTTAGCTGCCCCATTCACCAAAGTTGGTGTTCTCTGCAGACTTGCTCTAGGCCTTGTATTTCACTCTAAAAAGGTATTTCTATTGGGTGTTCATCCATTTTCATGAATATTCAATAATGTTTACATTCTGTCTGACCAATACCAAGTTAATATCCTCAGTGCACATCTGTTTGGTTCAGATGTCAGGACACTCCCCAGGTTCACCCTTTATTTCTTTAATAAGATTTTTATTTATCTTTTGGTCTCTTCTGTTGTTTCTATTTTGCTGCTGAGTTTGGCTTTCCATATTCATGCCTAGTGTCATGTTCTCAATTGTTCTCTTGACAACCTGCTCTATTCCCATCATTTTGTGTATGGTAATCTCGCCATTGTAATGTAATTTTTTCTTAGTGTGCTTATTGTTTGCATAAGAGAGGGAAGGAAGGAGTGAATAAACTATTATGAATATGGGGTAGATAGACACAGGATGGCAAGACCTATAGGGGGTCTACCACTTGCCCATGGGGCTCCCCAGTCCTCAGTCAAATTGGGCATTAAAAATAAAGTGGAGGGGCCTCCCCTGGTGGCGCAGCAGTTAAGCTCTGGGCTGCGAAGCTGCCCACAGCCTCTGCAGCTCCAGTTTGATCCCCAGCTGCCGAAGAGGGTCCCACATGGCCCAACAGACCTCTCCTGTCTTGCCCACTGCTCCCCTCAGCAGTGTATTTCGTCAGTCTGCCTATTCTGTTCCCCGCTCTGGCTCTGGTGAATTCTCTCACCCTCCCACACTTCTGACTGTACCCAGTGCTTGTATAAATAAATAAATAAATCTTAAAAAAAATTTAAAAAAGATAAAATGGAGGGCCTCCCTGGTGGCGCAAGGGCTTAAGATGCAACCTATGAAGCAGTCCACAGCCTCTGCAGCACCAGTTCAATCCCTGGCTGCCAGGGAGCAACCCACATGGTGCAGCAGACCTCTCCAGACTCTCCCACTGCTCTTCCCCTCAGCAGTGTATTTTAGTCAATCTGCCTGTGATCTCCACACTGTCTCTGGTGGATCCTCTCACCTCCCACACCTCTGGCCTGTACCCCAGCTCTTATATGCATAAATAAATAAATCTTTAAAAAAATAAAATGGATAAGGAGGGGAGGGGAGAAAGGGAGGAC